TAATTTTTTTTTAATAAAAATGTTTATATTTTCAAAAATATTTAAGCTACGTTTACGAAGTTTTGTTCAATTATTGTATATAAGAACCAAAATAATAAGTTACAAATTTATTACTACATTTTTTTGTCATAGGGTGTTCAAAAGCATTTTTTTCGTTTGTCATTCATTCTCGGTGCCTCAACCCTCAAAAAGCTTTAAATTTCATTGATATGTATAAAAAATCGCAGTATCTGAATTTATTATTTGAGTCTCTATGTATTTTCTAAAAATATAATGAAAAATAGTTAATAGTCACTTCACGTCTGACGAAAATACATTTAAGAATATTTTTATCAGCAAGTAAGACTCCTCAGTTCAACCTCTCACTTAATTGCTGGCACGTCACCCCTACGGACGCCAACCCGAAGGGGTGTCCCTTTCGTACGCCAAAACGAAGGGGTGTGCAACCCTACGTGCACAACCCCTCTTTAACTCCCTATATCATTATCTCCTTCATCATGGCTGCAGCTTCTTAGAGGGGTTGGGGCTGAAATCCAGGTGCATCTAAAAACGGATTAATACCCCAAGACCTGTAGCCAAATCAAGATCTGTCGCCAATTTACTATGCAATACACAGCATATCCCTTCCCCCAAACAGTGATGTCATCTACGACTAATAGCGTGATCCGGCCGAAGTGAGGATTAATCGCTCGTGTGTCTTAACGATCAGTCCACTGCGGGACTTACAGGAGTAGCAATGCACGGAGGGGGCCCCATCTTGCATGAATGTTGTGTGATCCACACACTGCTGAAGTGTTGGAAGGACGCGATCTCCTCGAAGAAGAACAGACTGACGATGAAAGCTGCTGTTATTCCGCCCTACACAGTGACCTTTTAAGAGTGAAGAGGTAATGGCTGTAGCTGGAACGGATTCGCGGTCGCCCATATCCTGAAATGTTACGTATTTACAGAACCTTGCAAATGGAAGTGAGCTTCGTCAGACCACAGAATGTTCCAAGGCATTTCTTTATCAACATTCATCAGGGCAAGCAATCGTAGCGCAAAAGATTCACATGCCTCCAAGTCAGCAAGTAGCAACAGGGCCTGCCCCAGGGTAGGGCGATCCGGGCGGCCGCCCGGAGCGCAATGGTTTAGGGGTGCCAAAATTATAGTTCACAAGATTGAGAGGCGGCGGGCGGAATTTATCATTCTTATTTCTAAGCACATAATTCAAATAATATCATATATTGAAACATTAAAGCAAAATCTAGTTGAATTCAATTCAACATGACAAAACCACTCAACCACCGCCTTTCAAGAATTGACAAGTTTTTCGGCCCGTGGCAACACGACTATACAGGAAACAACAATTTTGAAACCAAGTGAAACAAGATCTAACAGCCCTTTTTAACTGCATATTAAAAAGAAGTAGACTTAAAACAATGCATTATTTGCCACTAGACTTCGGCTGGTGCGAAATAAAATAGTTTGTTTAAATTGTTAGTGAAAAAAAGCTTTAAAAAAGTGCTTGTGCAAATTGTCCAGTGCGTTTGGCTTCTGTGAAGGTAAGTGCTTTGATTTTTGTTTTCATTTTCAAAAACGAATGAAATCCATCAGACATAAGCCCAAAAAAGGGTGGGAGTAAATTTCAAAAATTAGAGTTCAGATCAAAACATGGCTTGTGTGGTATCAAATGAAAGGTAATTGAGTCTGGAGTTAAATAAAATGCATTTTATTTTTTTAAGCCAGTGGCGCACAAGGGGGGGGGATTCAAAAATTAGAGTTTACATCAAAAAATGTCTTGTGTGGTATCAAATTTTTTTGGGGCCAGTGGAGGTACCTACAATGAAGGGGGGATTTGGTGTTAATCGTGTGAGCTTAGATGCCCATAAATTGGCAGAGTATCTCTCATTTTGCTTGTTTTAGTTTGTCTTTCGTATTAAAAAAAATTGGGTAGTTATATATTACAAATGTAAAAATAAAATGTAGGGAGTACACTTTAAAAATAGTACCTCTTATATAAAAGGTACAAGCTAAATTTACCCTTTATTTTCTCGCGTAAGAGGCACATAACTAATGTGCCTTTAAAAATGACAGGCACCACAAGAAACTAAAGGCAGCAAAGCAAACGCGAGTCAATGCTGGGTACGAAAAGATTTTACCGCTTCCTTATGCCTCTCAAATGTGCTTCCCTTCTTTTTCTTTGGTACGATGAAAGAATACAAGGATACAAGAAAAGGCTTAGAAATGGAGAAGAGGTTTTAAGAGAATGGATGGTATATTCCGTATTTAAAAACGCTTTGTACTGTTTTCCATGTCGACTTTTTGCTGCACCATCTAGCTTGAGCGCTCTTGTCAATCAGGGATTTAAAGACTGGAAGCATTTAGGGGAGTCTTTAGCACATCATGAAAATGCTAAAACTCATATAGATTGTTTGAAATCATGGCTTGAATTGAAGCAAAGATTGAAAATAGGTGAAACTATAGGTGCAGTTTCTCAGAGACTCATTGATTCTGAGATAAATCACTGGTCTGAAGTTCTTTTACGCATTATATCAGTCGTTAAAATACTATGCGAGAGCTCTCTAGCTTTTCGAGGAACAAGCGATAAACTGTATGAACACAATAATGGAAACTTTTTGAAGTTAATTCAGCTATTGGCTGAGTTTGATCCAAAAATGGAGGAACACGTTCGCAGAGTCCTCAATAAAGAAGAAATCAAAGCTACATATCTAGGGAAAACTATATAAAATGAAACAATTTATTGCATGACAACATAAAGTACCACATCAATGAGCAAGTTTAAAAGGTCAAGTATTATTCCGTGATTCTTGACTGTACTCCCGATGCAAGTAAAGTAGAACAGATGACATTTGTGGTAAGATTTGTCTCCATACAGGAATCAGAGTCTGAAGTTCAAGTAAATATCAACGAGCATTTTTTGGGTTTTCTACCCATTGAGAGATCAACAGCTAAGGAATTGTCGGAGGTTTTACTAGAAGAGCTAGAGAAAAATAGGCTTAAAGTAGAAAACATGCGCGGTCAAGGGTATGACAATGGTCCCAGTATGAGAGGAGAAAAATCGGGAGTACAAACAAGAATCAGAAATATAAACCCCAGTGCATTTTATGTTCCATGCAGCAGCCATTCGCTAAATTTGGTTGTAAACGATTTGGCAAAATCCTTGTTTGAGGCAGCCAACTTCAATATTGTTCAAAAGTTACATAAATTTTTTTCTTCCTCTTCTTTTCGTTGGGCAATATTTCGGAAATATATTGATACTTTACACCCTAAAACCATTGAGTGATACGCGATGGGAAAGTCGAGTCAACTCATTAAAAGCTCTGCGGTTTCAAATTGGTCCAATTCACGATGCATATATGCATATGCATCGTACAGCATATATGAAGATTCAGAAATCGATAATATGATCAGAGACGAGGCTAGCGGATTATTAAATAATTTGAAGCAGTTCAAATTTATATGCTCTATTGTGATCTGGTACAAAATTTTGAGTCATACTAACCCCATCAGCAAACTTTTGCAAACTGTAAATTTTGATTCCAGCATCACTGTTCGTCTGTTCTTCTAATGCTGTAGCCGCATCTTTCACTGCCGCAGTTAAAACTAGTTTACTTCCTCTACCCCATTTCACGTCAAATGAATCGGTCTCTTCGAATTTAGCATTCATTTTTTGCTGGCCTTTTGTAGCTATTGAACCCAATTTTATAAATTTAAATCTCCGAAACTTCCTAATAGCTGTAAGTGCACACTCATTGTTCTTATAAAAAAGTTTCAAAAGCAGAGCGCCATCTTTCATAGTCAAATTCATGATGAAGCATTCAGGCAAGGAGCTGGTGCTCTTCATTTTTATAGCAGAGTAATTTGCATATCTCCAGGAAATGTGAACCCTGACAACACCATCTATCAGCGGATTTTTGAACTATTTTTTTCTTTCGTCAAACAAAATCCATTGCCTCTGCTAAAATATCAGGTCATTCTGACGAGTAGTTATTAAATTATAGATTTTTGAAATTGCTGCTTTAATTAGAATCACCCTGTATTTCAAACATTTCATGCTTAATGTTTTAAATTCAGAAGAAATTTTTCTTATTGTCTTCCCTTAAACGGTTTTTAAAAGCAATTTAAATGAATAATTTTAATTTAGTTTCTAAAATATTTTCTAGTGATTTTTTGTAAGCTGATTAAATTATCAGGACGTAAATTAACTTAAAACTATTTGTTTAGTATTACATTTAGATTATCACTCAGATGTTTTTAATACAAGGGTGAATCAAAGAGAAAGGAGAATTTTTGATGGCCAGAAAAACGTACAGAGATACGGGAATGAAATTTTATTATGTTTGAAGCCTGGTATCGCACTACTATTTGAAGAAGGAATCAAAATGGTCTAAGCATTTATTCCACAGTGGAAATAATTCATCATTGCCTCGACCAAAGAACTCTTGCTCCAGATTCCATAACTAGAGGTAAGTGCAGCTTGTTGTGCCTCTTGAAGTGTCTGGAAAGGTTGTTCATGAAGGTGCTTTTTCAGACTGTCGAATAAATGTTCATCCGAAAGGGCTAAATCAGGACTATATGCATGACCCCATACAGCCGCACAGACCCGTATGCACCTCCGGGGGATCAAGTGTGGAATTCTCAATCATCCTACGTATAAGCCTGATTTACAGAAGAGTTACACTTACCTCTGGTTATGGAACTTGCACCAAGAGTTCTTTGAATGGAGTATGGATAAATCAGTGCAACGTTGGAATGTTTAGGCCATTTTGTTTAATGTTTAGGCCGTTAAATGTTAACACGTTAAATTTTTAAGCCACTTTGGTTCGTTCGTTGAAAAATAGTGTAATACCATGTTTCAAGAATAATAAAGTTTCATAACCTTATCTCTGTACATTTTTTTGTCCATCACATGTTCACTTGACTTTTTGATTCGCCTTTGCGCATAAATTTAGGATAATTATTATAAGCTGTTTAAATCTTTAGATTAAGACTTCATTGAAAGTAACTATAATGAACACATGCAAAAAATTTTATTATTTTCTTTTATAGAATATTTGTAATTTTTTATACTGTTTAAATTAACTGCCATTTTATTTTAGGAGAAAAATATTCTTAAGTCTGCATTTTAAGCGAATAAAAATTAATAAATTATTTTCGTACTTAATGAAATTAATGAAAGTTGTTATGCATAATTTTTAATCCAGTTAATATCTAATTTAATATTGATATGAATTTGATTAAAAAATATCAGTTTTTTGTAACTGATACCCAGCTGTATTTGTATTAGCTTGTAACTGACACAGTAAAAGTTGGTACTTACCCTTTCTAATCGTAAAACTTTCACATGAACATGGAAGAGAACCGTGTAGGAGACCCTCGACATGGAGCTGGTGTTCTCCTTACAGATGGCGCTCGTTTTATGAGTAATTTAGATTACTACCGAAAGAGAACGCTATAACTTTGTTGATGTGACCAGAATCTCGGCTACAGAGAGTTTTCTATTTAAGCTGTAAGCCAAACCCTTTGCTTGAAGAAAAGCTAGTCGCCTATCTTCGCCATCTTATTTATCCAATGTTTTGTTTTTGCAATAAAAAGAACTTGAGTTGAGAAATGATGAATGTTGAATTATAAGCTTTAAAATTAGAGTTTTATCCTAAAAGTTTGAGTTAACATAATAGTCCTTGTTTAACATTTATTTGTTTAGAATGGAGCATAAATCATGTGGAAATTTAAAGAAGTTTTATCTCAAATTTTGAAATTTCTGGTGAGTTCTTTAGTTGTTAAATATTAGGGTGTGATTAAATAAAAATTATAAAATGATTTCGTTTTATGAATGTCGAAGTATTATTCAGAAGAAAATATTTATTATGACTTGTCATTATTTAACTATAACAACACTGTATGATAATATTGATTTTTATTTTAAATTAGCAGTTGTTCAATATTTGGGTTGATTTATTTAATAAAGTATAATGTTTGAAATGGATCTTCAAATTAATGTTCAAATTTTTCAATTTATTTGCTCTAAAGTTTTATTCATTTTAGTCAGAACAATTGAAATAATTTTGCACAGTCATTTATGCTATCATTTGTACTGCCATAACTTAGTGGTGTGATTATTATCATTAGATTTTTTTTAATCAGGCTGTTTGGAAAACCTTTTAAAGTCGGGACATTTAAGGGGTAATTGAAATTTATTGAATAAAATTCTTGAAATATTTCTGAATTTTTGAAACTTCAATAAGTATAAAAAAAAATTTTAATTTATATTTTTTTAATTGCTTATAAAAAAAATAGCATACTATTTTAATATATTTTTTTTATCCATTGAGTATTATGGGTTTTATGATTTATAGTCATTTTATGGTTTTTTATGAGTTACTCAAATTGGTCAGTAATGTCCTATGAAATGCTCTCTGTATTATTTGACATTTAATTTGGGTTGGGTTGGCAGATGCAGTTAATTCTCATAACTTTTCATCGCATGATCATTTTAAGTATCTACATAGATAGGACAGTTAAACTTCTTTAAAATTACAAATAAGCGACTGAAACAATTTGTTTGTTAAATTAAGGTGCATTATAACAGACTCAGCTGAAATTATCAAAACTGAAAAATCTTAATGCACAAAAATGGACAAGAAAATGCTTACAAAGGGGATTATCTTTGTTGCTTTTATTTTTATAGCAGAAGAAATATGATTTGTTTATAAATGATGTACCTTTCTTCGACAGTTGTTTGATGAACAACTCCTTGATGTCAAAAGATACACAAAACTATTTTATTAATGAATCTTCTATGTTCTCTTTCTTTTTTAAGCAATCAATATTTTAGATCATTCTAAAGTTTCGCTTTATTTTTGAACAGCATTAAAACTGTAACTAAATTTTGCTTTTTTCTAAAAACGTCAATATTTTTACATTATTTGTTTAAAGAACTTAATAATTATCCTTTATAAAGATGTCGATTAACAAAGTAGATATTTGATTCGTAAACATTTGGCCAGGATACGTAACAAGAGGTAGAATTTATTCAATCATTTGCATATTGAAACACCTTTTGTTAGATATTGCAATTGCAACCTGTAATTTATTTTCCATATGCTGCCGCACCTTTATTATCTACAGATCAGAGATCTTATATTATTATTATTATTTACTTATTCTATTGAGAGAAATCTAAAACTCTTTCAAAAGGAATAAGATTTTGAGATAAAGTATTGTGCTTTTCTCCAACATCTTCGATAAAATAATTTTTCAGAATTTTTTTTCATTAAATCCAATCTATGATTATATAGAAAGAGTTTCTTGCAGATTTTTAGCATCAAACAAACTTTTTATTAATAAATTTCTTGCTGAGTCCCAGGTCTCATTTCATTAGGACTGAGAATAAACAAGTTCAACTATATTTTCAAAACTTTAAGTGAGGATTTGTTAATATGTTTTAAATTATTTTTGTTAAGTCCATTTGTCTATCTTATTGAAAATTACTCTGTACACATATAAGTTGATATGGTAATGCGCATAAATAGAGACGTGGATTTCAAATTTATCTAATGTAATAAGATTTTTATCTAGAAAATCGTTACAATTAGAGATTATCCATCGAATTTCATCTAGTTGTTAGGATTGAAGAATATATTTCATATATAAAATCTGTTCTTCATTTCGAGTTAGTTTTAGAAATAGAATGTTATTTTTCATTTTTGTATTTAAGTTGTATCACACATTATTTATTGTATTTTTTCAGTTTTCAAAAGATGTGAACATGACATCCAAAAAGGTAACTATAAGTGAAAAACCTAAAGGGACCAAAACTGGCGTGTTTCGTAGATCAGAGTCTGTTATGCCAGCTGGTATCACCTTGAAAAAGACACCTGGCTCTGTTAAGGATATTAACTGCAATGGAAAAGAAGGCCTTCTTCGTCGAAGTTCAATGATATGCTCTGAAGGATTTGATAAATACACATATGATTGCCATAGGTCTGATATTCCCACTCGGACAGTAGGATTTAACCTTGACAAATTTACAATACCAGAGGAGAATACTTTGTCAAAAAACCTTTTACCAGTACCTAAGTCAAAGCATACGTCCATTTTGAAAAAAACCTCTAGTACTAAAAGTTTACCGCTCGTCAAAAGAGATTCTGTAGTCCACCCGGGTCGCGTTGATATGCAAAGATCTTTGTGTATTGCTGGTAGATTTCAAAATCCTTGGCCTACTTGGAGGCCACCTACATTTGCTAATGTATTGAAATTTGGCATAACCAAGAGTAACAGTAGAGTACCATCAAAACAGGTTGGTTTGATTCTTTATAATTCTCTAGGTTAAATTAGCATTATAAGCGAATCAAAACTAGGCAATTAAGCCAAGTTGAAATGTTCTTTGAAAATGCTTAATAAACTTTCATCCTTGTGGCTGGATTTTTTATAAATTTTTTATGCCCAAAACACATGTAATGTCCGCAAATATTTCATTAAAAAATATAAGTATAGTATAAAAAATATGTAGTGCCATATTTTTAATTAGAAAACCACTTTAAAGTTCTGAAATACAATAACAGAAAGAAAAATTTTGTATGAGACATGACGTAATTTTCTTTCTTCATGAAATGCTCAACAAATTTTTTAAAACTTCAATAGTTTATTTGATATACATACATTAAGCAGCCAGTGGGGCTGAATTTTGATACTTTCCTTTCCTATATATATATATTATTTATGTTATGCAATTAGATTTAAAGCATTTATCTTTCATAAAAACTTCTGTGCAAAAGTCCAAGGTTGTCTGCTGCTACAGAAAGTGAAATCATTTCTAATTCAGGTATGTATAATATACGTTAACAGCGTTAATATACGTTAGTACGTCGCATAAATTTTGTTTAATATTACTGGAAAAGGGAGAAGAAAAAAAAACTAAAATTTCCTTATCTTAACGCACAGATTGGCAGAATAATATTTTAGATCATTGACTGAATTAGGGATAGCATATGAGATTTTTTTTTACTGCTTGGCTCAGCCGTGCTTTCCGGAAATTACTTCATTGTATTTGACTTTCAGGCTATAGCTTTCTTTTCAGTTTAATTTTAAAAAAATGTGTCTTTTCAAAGAAAGTTCTTATTTTTTTCAGTTTCAAATATTAAGTTTCTTATTCATTCACTATTATGATTGTGTTCAAGTGACTTAAAAATTATGAATCTTATTTCTTATTCACAAATTTTTTTAAATCAGGCATTGAGATTCATATTCTCTTTATTTTAAAACTAAACTTCAAGATTGATCTTCATGTGATTTTAAAGCCTAGTTATATTTCAGCTCTAACTTTTTCATATGCTGCTAATTTTAAAGAAGACATTTTATGATGCTCTGTTTTATTTTATGTGTAGCATTTTATTTTTAGTGTATAAATTTATAATTCAAATATTGGCTGGAAATATGATAAAACAATAAAAGGTTCAACAAAGAAAAACTTTTTACTCTTAACTTTTGTGACTATTGCTTAAGTTGTTTTTGTTCCTAAGAAATTAAAGCCTGGTAAATCTTAGTTATCTGCTAAATATTGCTAATAAAGGAGATTTTATAATATACAAACTAAAGTTTCTTAAAAAAATATTGTGTTACTAAAATTGAATTCATTGAGATGCTTTCGATAATTCTGTACATTTTCTAAATATTAAAACATAATAACTGAAGTTTAACTTAACAAATTAAAGAGAATTTGCTTCTGTTCTTAATAAAATTGCAATCCTGTGAGGAATTTAGAATTTATTTGCAATGTAGTGTTACTTTTCAATTTATTTTATTATGCTTTGTAAAATTCTTCATAAAAAGTTTTACTGATGCCAGTTTGTATAAGTTCGCAAATTTGTAGTGTTTTTTTTTTATTAAGTGTTGATATTTTAAAATATTGAGTAAAAGTAAAGCTTTTCTTTTTTTAATGAATTTATAACTTCAAATATTATCTAGAATTAAAAGTATGCTTCAGTTCACTTGAAAGAAAAATTCCTGTAATGAATTCAAGCTCATATTTATTTTATAATGCTTAAATATGTTACCTTTCCTTTTGTTTGTACTAATAGAATGTTTTGAAATTAAGTTTTATGGCAAAACCTTTTTGGGAATGCATGTTTTCAAATTTTTTTTAGTTAAATATCAGACAATAGCAGTTAGAAAGATAATATGGTCTTTCAGTTTATGAAAAATATTTAAGCTTAAAAATATCTTGTTCACACTGGAAATCCTTAATTGCAATACTTAACTGGAAAAATTTTTGTATTTTAAAAAAAATAAAGATTATGAATTTCACTTTTCAGGAGCTTGAACTAATTTTGCCTATTATGAAACAAAAATTTTCGAAACTTTCAATACCTGATGATGGCATTCGTATCACTTGGTTTGGACATTCCACAGTTCTTGTGCAAATGCATGGATTAAATATTTTGACTGATCCAATATTTAGTGACCGAGCTTCTCCAAGTCAAGTTGTTGGTCCAAAACGCTATAGAGATCCTCCATGTTCTATCCATGATCTTCCTCATATCAATGCTGTCGTAATTAGCCATTCTCATTATGATCATCTTGACCTCAATACTGTAACACTTTTAAATGCAAGGTACATATCATAAACACTAGTTGTTTCTTGTTTTATTTCTTTATTACTTTTCTAAAATGTTTTTATATTTCATTTGTTAAAATGTTTATTATTATTCAATTGTGCTTGTGTTTAACTAGAAATGATTTGTTTGACTTGATTATTTTATAAGAAATAGTTGATTTAATGTTAAGCTTATTTTTTCTCATTAAAAGTCTTTCTTTGCTTATACTCAGAAGACGATATATATTTGAAAATTTTAACTATGCTTGAAACTCTGTTATAAACCCTTTGAGAATGGTGATCACATTTATGGGATTAGGCGATCTTTCTTTGTGGTCCATAGAACTGCTCTGTTACTGCCCTGCATAAATTTTTTTTTATTGTCCATTATTTTTTTCTTCAATTTTTTGTTGATGCCACTTCTGTCACATGCGAAAAATGCTAACAAATATTGCAACCCTATTTACTTCAAAATTCATTGTTAGAATATAACAATAACCATTAAATATACATTTTATAAACAAAAAATACTTCTGATTTATATTAAATTATTGCACTGTGGTAACAGATTATTTTTCTCTTTCCACCAAAATTGGATAAAAATAGACTAATAAAGACACCCTAAGCTTTTATTTACCCTTAGTTAAGATTAATAAGTAGGGTCAACACCTGCAATGAAAATATTCATTTAGTGGTCCAAAAACTTATTATAGTAGACAAACTTGAAAAAAAAATTGAACTTTATAATTACACAATTTATGTTATGGTACACATCAAACATAATTAATTGCCATCTAAATCTAATTTGGTACAATACCTATAATGATTGAAGATTAGTAAGTATTAAAATTAAGAGAAAGAAAGCTAAAGTAATATTAGTAAACAGATTCGACCTAGAGATTCAAATGCATAGACCAAATAAATAAATGAAGAAGACAGAGAAAGTAAGAGCTAATAAAATATTATATTAAAAATTAATTATCTAAAAATTATAAAATTTAAAAAAATGTCAATTCTAAAAGAACATCAAATATTATTTTATTAATGAACAATTATCCTGTCAGAACATAAATGCAATGCATATCACAAGATATAAATTTAAAATTTCAAACTTAAAAAATTTGAATTTTTTTAAATTTAAAAGGAATAAAACAAAAACAGACATTTTCAGTTATTTCATTTGAATACCTTGGATAAAACAGTAAAATTAGTGAAAATGTTTTTTTAATTGCATGAAATCCGATTAAAAAAACTATCATTATTATCTAGTAAATTTCAAGCGACAAATTTGTCGCTCACGTGTATGATTTTAGCGACATTTATAGAACATTTGGCAACAATTGACGCCATGCTGCCTTGAATCCTATTAATGTGTATAAGACCAATACATTTTTTGCTGACTCTTACTTTCACAAAATATTTTTAATTTATCAAAAAAAAAATGTTTTTTCTCTTAATGTCTGAAAAATTAAAATGCTTTCTTAAACTTTTCTTGAATAACTTTAAAAATCTCTTTTTTAAGTTCATATAAGTACAAGACTGTCTGGCAAATTGAAAAGAAATTTTCTAAGTTACCCATTTCTAAAGATGATATATAGACAGAAAAGATAATTTAATTTAATGAATCCAAGAGAAATCTGTGTCCTTATGATGATATAGTTAACAAAGGCAGTAATCTTGCAGTGTGTGGTTATTTGAAAAAAATTACAAATATTGGAAGGTTAAAATACAGTAGAGAAATAAAATTACAGTAGAGAACCAATTATCCGGGATGCTCGGGACCATCGCTATCCCGGATGTCTGAATTTCCCGGTTTTCTGGATCGACCAAAAAGTGTTGTTAATCGATGTTTTATCGAACCCGAATTACAAGGAAAAAGTGTAATGCATAAAGTAAGAGAAAAAAGAAAGGTACTCCTAACTTTAAAAAGAAAAAAAGAAATGGTAGAAAAATAGCATTTAAAAGAATAAAAAAAATTTGCAAGTTTAGACAAGAAAAACAAGTTTAAAAAATACAAAATTCTCGTATTTATTTTTTAAAAATAATTACAATTCCTAAATTAACTAATATAAACAAAACCAATGTTTAAATAACGCAATATATTTCATACCTAATTATACGGGGGAAACGATAAGATAAAAGGAAAACTTATTAATCTAAATAAAAACACTTGAAAATTATCGAACCAAAACGATAGTTAAAAAAGGCACTAGCATAAATATTAAAACCCGGAACAAGGCAAGATCAACAGAGTTTTTTAAAAAAACCTAATGATAAAATTTATGAATAAAAAGAATTAATTTATTGAGTGCAAAATTTATCGCAAAAAGAAAAAAATATCTAACGTAGTGGAATCAGAAAAACAAAACTGCAATCTGCTTCATAAAATACTCCTATGTTTAAATTAATAAACAATTCTCCTTTTATTTATTTTTTTTGTTGATAAAAACATGATATTTAATTACAGCAGATGTGATTCCACATCAATAAAAACTTGCAAATGATACCACACTTCCAAAGAATGAGAATTTATTCAGAAGAAAAAGATTATATTTTTATTAAACGATGTCAAATAGATAAATATATTTTTCTCTTTCATCTTCTGTTCACTGATATGCATGCAATGCATTTTCCCCACCCCCCTCGTAAATCAAACAGAAAACGAAATCAGCATGCCACACCCTTGAGCTTGATTGACGGCCTAAAGGAGAAAATAAAACATTCCTCCCTTTCTTGCCTTCAAGGTCATGGAGGAAATGACGTTTCTCTGGGTAAACGGGGAAAGAAATTCTCCCCTTCCTTACATTTTCCCCTACTTCAAGGATGAGTACAATTTCCGCTTTTTTGGTAATCGTTCTAGTTTAAAATGGCGGGAAAACCGATCAAAATGTTTCCTGGTTATCTGGATACCGGATAAATGGTTCTCTACTGTATTAGAAGAGAAAAATGATCAAGCAGAGGTTCAGTAAAATGTAGAATCAAATGAAGAACTAAGAAATTAGCATTGCATGAAGTAACTGTTTAAGTAAATACACGATATACAAATTTTAAAATATCAATTAAGTCATTAAATTGACTATATTTTTAAATATATTCTATATACAATTTAAATACTCAATTTATTATATCCTGAATTTTCAGTATAAAGAAGTTTTTTGCGCTACCCTTTGGGACTGTGATATCAAGGTTTGACTTTGTACAAATACTCTATCGAATCATTACTTCATAAACCTACTTATTTTTACAAACAAGAAATAAGTAAAGAAAACTATTTCATGTGCAATTTATGAAATTAAAGTGTTAATTTAAAATTTTTACCTGAATAAGTGGATGTTTGCCTAAAAAAACAACATGGTTGATAGTGCTGAAGGTTGAATAGGGCGAATTTTTGTCTTTTATCGGACAAAAAAGGCTATCTATTGTGTACAATCCTTTGGAATGAAGGTGTGAACTCAAAGTATGTTGCTTTTTTTATAAGTTGTTTTTTTAGTACAGCATCCACTTACCAAGTATTTTCCCATGTTATTTACTTATTCAAGAAGCTAGACTTAGTTTCCTATTTGTTCTAAACATAAATTGTGCCTCCTTCGGCAAAAGCAAGACTACACTAGCTTTAAGTTTATCTCTATTATTTATGTTTTCAGACTAAGAAAATTCTGTTAAAATATGTCAGAACAACATTGATACAAGTGAAGAATTTTTTATGTATGTTTATTTGTTCTTAGATTCAATACGGATATACGCTGGTTTGTACCTTTGGGTCTTCAATCATGGATGCAAGATGTTGGATGTGAGAACGTAGTAGAATTAGACTGGTGGGAGGAAAATTGTGTTCCTGAACATAGTGATACATTTTTTGTTTTTACTCCTGCTCAGCATTGGAGTAAGCGTGGTATTGGAGATGATAACAAGGTATCATTTTCTTTTACTTTTCATCATTTTCTTTTCATAAAACAATACTTGTTTATCCCTTATTTTCTAGTATATACCATCTGAGTAAAATCTGAAAATATTTATGAAAATCAAAAAATACAATATTTTATTCCCTTTTTTTATTGTTAATTCTTAAAGTATACTATTTAGAAATAAAGCAACAAACATAATTTTTAATTATGTAATTATCAGAAAAAGCGTGGTATGCACAAAATTAGTATTTCAGCCTGTGTAAAGACTTTAAGGCCACCAGTAGATTTTAAAAATAAATATACTTATACTAGCTTAACTATGAAGGTTGTAAGAACACTTCAATTTTCAAATTTGTCATTTCTTTGAACTTTTGGTGTTCTTTGTGAAGATGGTGAGATGTAAGAATTTGAATGTTAGATTGAATAGCTTAATGTTTCTTCTTCAACAGGAAAGAGTAGCCATGCTATTGCAATAAAGATAAGAAAATTAAAGACTATAGTCAATATTTTCTTAAGATTAAAAGACGATTATGATATAAAGAATAATGGGGGAAGACTGAAGCTATGTCCTTGCACGATCAATAAAAAGTTTATTGTCTTGTAACTACTGGAAAATATCCAACTGGGAAACTTATTCTTGTGACTAACCTAAATGTTTGCCAAAAAACAGCGCATAATAGAAAGAGAAGATCAAGAGGATTCATTTATGCAGCAAAATTGGCTAAACTTCGGTGGCTGCAGAGGCACAAAATAGATCATTTAAACTTCAGCCAATAAGTCATAAGCTGGGGCAACCAATGGATAAAAAAAAAAATTTCTGGTGAAAAAAAAAAGTGGAATTTGGATGGTTTAGATTGATGGAAGTGCTATTGGCATAATTTAAAAAATGAAACATAAATATTCTCCTAGGGCCCATTAGATGGAGCCTCTGTAATGACTTGAAGATGTTTTGCTTTCAATGGTCTGGGTTCATTTGCATTGATTTCAGACAAATTAATTCACGAATTTACCAAAATATCCTAGCAAGCTATTTTTTACCAAATGCCGAATTTCTTGCAGTAGAAAATTGAATATATCAGCAAGACAACGTGACTATTCATTCGAGTAATAGAACAAAATATTGTTTTCAAGCCAACAATGTTGAAACTTTGAAATGGCCTGCTAGTTCTCCTGACCTCAACCTAATAGAGAACTTATAGCGTGACTTAGCATGAGGAGAAGTTTATGCAAGTAGGGGGCATTTTAAATGTTTAATAGTGTTGAAAGTTACTATCGAAGATAAATGTTATAAAACAAAAACAGAACTTTGTCAAATGTTAGAATTCATGAAATCTATAATATTTGAAATAATAAACGATCCCAAATTGCCATTTAGACGATATCAAGAGTAGAGACGATGATATGACATCTAAAAAACACTGAAAGTCCATTCTAGTGTAACAAAGTTTTCTTGATTATTTAAATTCACTAGTTTCATATTTAGTGCTACTAGTATTTAAACAAAAGAAAGAAAGAAAAAAAATGCATCAAAATTCTCTTACTGTAAAATTATACTTTTAAACTTTTCACCAAATTTTTTTATTGTGTCAATTTTTGCATATTTTCTGAATTTGTGACGTTTTAACAAAGAGGGTGACACGTCAAGTAGTAAATTTTTTCTTTTGCACAAGCAAAATGTTTAACTATATGTACTATCTTTGTATCTGTTTATTTAGAATATTGGTGCAAACACATTTGGAATATACATTCATTTTTTTGACGTTGTATAAATTTCTACACTTCTATAGAACAAAATTATTATTCCATTTACCCTAAAATAAAACATTTATTATCAATGAAGATATATTTTTAAAAAGGGCTATTTTAAAAACGTGTGTTATATTAAAAATTATGTTTAAAATATTCAAAAAATTTTGTTAATATAACAATTTCCTAGTTGATTGCAGAAAATATCAAAGAATAATATATTTTATACTTGAAGTTAAATATCCTTAATAGTAATTTATATTAGTTAGTGCTGATAAGTTTAAACAAAGCTTATTCAAGTAAGAAAGTACTATTTCGTTCTGCAACTCTTAGAGGTTTAATTTGGTCAATTGTCATTCAATCATTCCCTATTAATCTTGTGACTTATTGAGTTTATTGTTGTTCTTTTTTATTGTTTCCTTAATCATTTTAAATACTTTCAGGTATTATGGGGTAGCTGGTGTATTTTAGGTCCTAAATATCGATTTTTCTTTGCTGGTGATACTGGATATTGTGATGCTTTCAAACAGATTGGGCGTGTTCATGGGCCTTTTGATCTTTCTGCAATACCAATTGGAGCTTATGAACCTAGGTATGCATGATTTATTTATTCAAAGCTATAAAAGAATTTATTACATAAAAATATTGGTCAATTCAAGTTTGACATAGGCTACTGGATCCTACCAATTTTTCCAGGTTTAATAAGAATTTTTTTCTTGTTTTTACATATTTTAAAAAATTCTATGAAATTGAAATATACTATCTTACTTGCCTTATTAAAAGTTTAAATGAGTAATGCTAAGTAATGATAAAGTATGTCTCAAACTGAAAGTAAATAAAAGATTGCTGTTTGAAACAAAATTTCAAAGTATTCTGTTATTTTGTTAACCACTTTTATTTTAATAGTAACTACTAGCTTAAATTTTCTAGATGGTTTATGAAATATCAACATGTTAATCCTGAAGAAGCAGTGCAAATACATTCAGATGTGCGTAGTAAACGTAGTCTTGGAATTCATTGGGGAACATTCAACTTAGCAAATGAAGTAAGAAAATATTCATTAGTTTTCATACTATTGAAATATTGTTGTAGTACCATTGTTAAAAGTTCTATATTCGGAAGAAAGGATATTGTGGAACCTACAATCATCTTAAAACAGTAAAGTTCTTCCAACTTTCAGCTTAAATTCCTTTGTCATACATTATACTCTTGAATATTTGGTTGACGTCAAGGGAGAGGTGGCATAAAAGGGGAAGGACGATGCTGAAAATCGGAAAATTTTTATTATTGAAACCATATAATAAAGCCGTATTTACTTATTGTAAATAAGATGAAATATGCCAAAAGTGGTTTTCATTTAATTTATACTTAATAAATTATCACAAATACGACTTTAAAAAAATGCATATTTATCATAAGGGGTAGTTGTTTTCTTATTCCACATGTATTAAATTGAATTTTTTTTTCTTTTATAATCATTTAACAGATTGCTAGTAGATTTTCCAGCTTCTATTTAATTTCTGATCTTTTCTTAATACAAAGCATATTTTATTTAAAAACTGTATGACCTAATATGCTGTTTATTATGCCTATAATTATTTGTTTATGTTAACTTTTTGATGAATTTGTATTAAAGTGATTTTTTTAAGGTTTTTTTTTTAAATGTCTTTCATTAACATTAAAACCTATAAAAAAAAAATTTTTTTTAAATGCTTTAATGCTAATAAAAGATAAAGTTAAAAGGATGAACTAAGTTTTTTTTGCAAGATTTTTACAATTTTTTAAAAATATTCTGTCTTTTTGAAAAATGATTAATTAAAATTAATAAAGTTTCATAATTATCAATAAATGATTACAAGTTTTTAATGTAATTATTAAAAAAGGTACTTTTCCTTTGCTATGCCAGTGTAAAAATGCATAAATATTTTAGTAAAATTTTTATTAAACAATAAATCTTTTAATATATTAATCCCAAAGCAAATTTTCTCAGTTTTGTGGTAGAATTTCTTTTTATATTTAAAATAGCAAGATTTATGTTTTAAGATGTGATTTTTTTAAATAAAACTAATTTAATATGTTCTCAAACTTCCATTGCATATAATTTATTTAAGCCCATTTTTAATAAGCGTAATTCTTATTTTAATTCAGTTTTTAACTTCTAGATAAAGTCTTGAAAATTTCCTCATGCAGTTACAAATTCAATTACTATTTTACTAGCTTAAAAAAACTGTCAATGAAGAGCACAGAATTTGGAAGCTATGGTCTTGTTTTTTATGCACTAATTTATATTTATTTAATTTAGAAAGTTTTATTTATTTACTACACCTGTATTTATTCTGGAAAAAATTTGCATATTTAACTTGGGAAGCTCAGAACATTTCAAAAATGCGATTTTTTTTTGGGGGGGGGGTTTCATTTTTTGAAAACTACCAATGCATTGAAATGGTGTCTCATAACTCAAAACTTTTGAAAGAGTTACAGCTATCACTCTAGAGTTTGATAATGTGCGATGTGCATGAATCTTCAAGCTTTAAAAGAGTATAAGGATAATAAAAAATTTTATAATGGATTGTATATTTGTACATTTTATATGCTTCAAAAGTTCATACTTTAAAGAAAAATTTCACAAATTAACATTAAATTCAGAAATTATTATTCTTTTTATAGATACTATTTGTTCTTTAGAAAAAAATAACTTTATATGGTTTTCGAAAACAAGACTTTTTCAAAGTCTGAACATGAAAGTGATAATGAAAATCTCTTACCACTCATAATTTCAAAACAATTATATTAAGGATTAATAATTGCCTGTTACTTGTGTTATGAAAAAGAGGAAGTCTGTATAACTTTCTGAGTTAGTACTCATTTTAGGAGTTGAATTTTTATTGCAATCCTAAGAAATGGTGTAAACTTATTTTATTGTTAAGTTTCATGGTTTGAGAAGCAGAGTACCTAGTTGTTTTTAAAAAAAGTTTTTTGCCTCTGTTGATACATTATTCAACTTTAATTTCTTTAGAGTCTCTGTGTTTATTTGGTATGGCTTGTTCTGTTCATTATAGATCATATGTTCTTAGGAAAGATGATATGCTTCCATTTTCTAATATGTTTAGCTGATCATGAGTTATTTTCTAGAAAATCGAATTTTAATTCTACATTTGTTATCTTTATTTAAGTTATGTTAATTATGTTTAACAGTAATGTTGAAATGTATATCTAGTTATATAACTTCGACTAAAGCAGATTTTAATGTTGTAACATTTATAATTGCAAAAAAATAATAAATAAATGCATTGATGTGTATTATCAATTGTTATTTTTAGTATTATCTGGATCCTCCTAGGAAATTAAGAGATAGTTTGGATAAGCAAGAAATTCCTCCTGAGAATTTTTTCACTTTGAGACATGGTGAAAGTAAATTAATTGCTCAAACAAATCTAGTCAAGAGAAATTATGCCAGTGCCAAATAATAAGGTCTTAAATATTTTGACTAACCATTTGTCTGAGTTATAGGACTTTAATATTGATTTCCTTTTGTTCCTTTAAGATTGTTATAGTTTATTTTAAGTTCCTTATGAGTGTGCACATTTTGTACATAAGTTATTCATACATACCAAATTATCATGCTAATGTATAATTGATTTACATTTGGATGTGAATTAAGTTTGTTTTAAATTATTGATATTTTACTTTTTGTGATTATTTGTGTATCTATTTATAATACATTAAGAACCATTGAAACTAAAAGAAAATGATTTGCTCTTTGTATTTTAATGTTAAAATTTGTACATGACCTGTTATATGTTATCAGGTAAAATATATATTTTATCATTGCAAATGTGTTAACTATGTGCGACTTGCATATGCTATATAATTTTATGTAATATATAGTTAATATGTAATTTTTTCCCCTCCAACTTGATAATAGACTCATTTGAATCTATGTATTATAAGATTAATCTTATTTTGAAGTAAGATTAACTAAAAGAAACTTTATTTAAAAAAAATAATTTTTGTTACGGAAAAGTAATTGGTTTTTGTGATAATTATTTGCAATCGATTGGTGCTATTTTTCCCCTAATAGTTTGAAAAAAGTTTTATAGATTAGAGAAATGGGTTGGTTTTAAACTTAGTATTGTTTTTAAATTTTGTATATGGTAAATTTTAAGCATATATAACAACTAATGTTGAGGTATACTTTATATTTACTTTATCTTCAGGTTCTCTAATGTCATTGCAAGGTTTGTAGTATTAAAATGTAAAAAAAAAATTTTTGATTATTACTTTTTTTATATATAATTTTGACCAACTAAAATATGTTGCAGGTTACATTTGAAAGTAATGATAAGAAAACTTAGTTTGTTTCAATTTTTTCTTCTTTTCCCACTTAGGGTTGTTTTTTACCCAGCATTTTGAACTGAAAACAACTAGAAAGATTTAATTGAAAGAGAGCATAAAACGATTCTAAAATTATAGTCATATTATTTATAATGTTCCAAGTTGTATCGTTTGCAGTATGTTTGTTTTTTCATGTCTTGTAGCAAAAAAAGAAATATTTTGTATGGTAGTCACTCTACATATTGTGTATAAATTGATTTAAAGGAAGTGGATTATCTATCACTGAAATATTTTAAAATTTAATAATTTTAGGTTCACAAACTCTTCTGCTTTAAGCATCAGAGTCCTGTTTCATTGCCCAGATTCTTTATTCAAACAAACAATATTTTTTATCTGATTTCAGGACTTCAAAAATACTGTTTGCCGTAAATGATTCACTTACTTAAAAATCCATGAGGTCAGTAGCCTTCCTGAATTTTGTTTTAAAAAAGAAAATAAAGATAAGAATAAAGATCAATTCAATTCTTTTACTTAGCTAACATTCTGTATAAATTTTACCTATTAAATCAGTTCTAAAAATCTTATTTTTTTACTTAATATGGAATTATCCTACATTAACCTAATTTTTTGACACTCTTTGTTTCATTAAATAGAAATTCTTTTTTCTGTCGCAAAATTTGTTTGACCACAATTTGCCAAGCGTTTAAAAACTGAAACTAAATCCAAGTCTCTCCACTATCAGATATACACTATTCCTCTGTATAAGCCACAGTGATCTTCTTGGCCAATTCAGAAGCATTCACAGTTATTCATGTTGGCTGTGTATGATTGATTCTTAGGTAAAAATAGAAATTTTATGTTCTTCAAAGCAATAGGTTTTCTTTTATATCAAGTTACGTTGTTTAGCACAAGAAGAACAATTCCTTTTTTTTAACCATTTTTTTATTAAAACCTGTAAACCACTCTTCAAAAATTGCACATGACATCTAGACTTTTCCATTTAATTTCTAAAGAATTCTAATTTTAGTAATGTGTTTTCCTCTGAACATCATGGCTTTTGTGATTTTCATATAATCAGTGGCTTAAATTTTTCTCTTGCGTTACTAGCACAAAAAGATAGAGTTATCATCTTATTTACATGTTTCCCACCTTTGGAATCTGTAAATTATTCCGCTCTTATTTGTCCTGGCTCTAAAACATGTCTCATCCATGTTAAAAATATCTTTTTCAGCATACCCTTCTAAAGTAATGGTAGTCTAGTTGTTTAGTCTTCATTGGCAGCTTTCCCGCATGATGATCAAAATACAACATTCTTTTGAATTCTAAGCTTATCAAGCCTGCCGTTGTGGACTTAAAACTCTTTTCTTAGAGCAACAGCAATCTCCAGAAAGTTACTTTATTTACTATAACTTTAATCATAAAAGCAGATATTATATTTGTAATTTAAATTTCAAGTATAAGTTGCTTAAATTTCAAAAGAAAAAGGATTGTAGGTCATGAGTATATAAATCTTTTCCCTTTATTATTTATTCTCATTCAACTCTTTATCTTCCTTATTATGTTTATATGAGAAAAGGGTTTATTAAAAGTCACTGAGCAGAAAGTATGAAAATTTGCATCTAACTCTTTCTTTTAGTTCTTAAATTTCGATATAAGCCCTTCCTTTACAAAAAAGACAAAATATTACTTAAAGATGATTGTCTAACAAAAATATTACTTATGTTTTATCTTATAAAAGTTGAATATGTTTTTTTTAATAATAATTTTATGGTAGAGTAAAACTATGTCTTTATTTTTGCTTCTTTACATATTTTTTTTTTTTTTTTTTTTTTTTTTTTTNTTTTTTTTTTTTTTTTTTGCTTCTTTACATATTTTTTTTAGAGCTTTATGGTCAAAATTTTTAGACTCCCTGAGAAATAAAATCGTTCTATTATTGTTGAGGCCTACCCCTTGAACCATTAAGATTTCATCTTGGTACATCAAAATCTGATTATTAGATCAAGAGCTATTCAAAGAGTTTTCTTGTTTTATACAAAAAAAAAAATGTAATTTTTATCACGTACAAATAAATAAAATAAACTTTTGATTTGATGGTTAGATTTTCATTTGCTAAGCTGAGATTTTAATTGATGGACCTTAACAATACTCTTATTATGCTTCATTTACTTGGTGTTATTTATTATAATTATTTTATTGAGTAAATTTACCTTGAAAGTGATTGATAAGTCGAATCACTTTCAATAGTGCCTTAATGTTTTTCCTATTTGAGGAAGCTAGAATTATCATAGAATTTTTTGTCAAGATTTTAATTTGTTCAAAAGACATCCTATCAGAGTTTGGAATTAAATGTATCTGTAAATAGCTTTATAGGTTCCCATTTATCATTTATATTAATATTTATAATATTAAAGAACTCCAATAATATTAATGCTAATTATTTTCATTTTAGCTTAAATCATTTTCAGCATTAGTGCTCTTCTCTCAAGTATAATTTTGCTCTTAACAAAATATTTAACATCAGAAGTTCCAGAAATAACATTTTTGTAATAATTTTCTTTCATCTTAAATTTATGTTGACTCTACTATTTTTGCTGTAATTAATTTTCTTATGTTTAAGTAATAGGTAGAAAAATTGTTTTTTGTTTGTTTGTTGTTTTTTTTTTAAAAATTTTATGCCCGAAGAATGTTTTTGATTATTTAAAATAATATGTTTAGATTTTTCAAGAAATAAATAAATGAGCAATACTCTTGCTTACAATTTTAAATATCTGCTTACAATAATTATTAATATCATAAATAAAAATTAAAGGGTTCGTACAGACTCCTTATACTCCTTGGAAATAAAAAAGTCTCCAAGAAGTACTTGGAACTACTTAGATTTCCAAATTAGTCCTTAGAAACTCCTTAGATTATTGCGTGCATAGATGAACATACTATGTCCGCTGATGAATTTGCTGTCCAAGCAGGGAAACTGAATGATATGACTTGGCTGTCAAAATCTAATAGTTTAAGTAAAATTTTAAAAGAGAAGAAAATTGAATTGCAAAAGTTAGAAGAAAAAAATAACAGCAAATAATTTTACATGTTATAAGCAAATTTAATTAATAATTTACTGCGATTTTTTTGTATAAAATGTCTTAGATTTTCTTACGTAATCAAATTTTAAAATAAAAGATTGGTAGGTTTTTATGTTAGTCTTTAACATCTGTACTTTAACAAGATAAATGTATTTATGTGTAAAAGTGATAACTTTATTTATTTTTCTTGATAAAGTTTGACAAAGTTAAAATTTATTTCAAAAGGGCTAGAAAAAGAATATGCTAAATGTAAATTTTTGCAAGTTCCTTATAATAACTGCTTTTTAATTTAAAAAAAAACGTTCTTGTTATCATTTACTCAAAGTTTTAAAATTTTTGATAAATTCTTAAAATTTTGAACTCCTTGGATAGTCCTTGGATTTCTTCTTCTGATCTCTGTATGAACCCTGAAAATTAAAACTTCTTATTTTATATGTGGTTTGCTTTTGGTCATCTTTGAACCTGCTTTATTCCAATTTTTAAACTTGTCTTTTTATAAAAACTGGAAACAGAAAGCTCGAAAGTTAAAACTAGAAACAATTTCTAAAAAAAATTATTTCTTTTTCAAAAATTAAATATTTGATTTCACATTCAATGTTATGTTAGCTTGTCTTAAGCTTATTAACAAATTGTAAGTAGACTATATACTATATTTTATAGCAAATTATTTTTTCTAGTAATAATTTTAATTATATATATACACACACAGTGTAGAAGAGAAAATATTTAGACTCTCTTCCATTTCAAAAAAAAAATTATATTTTAAAGTCAACTTAAAAAATAAAATTTATATTTTGTAATAAAATTTAGATTTTTAGCAAAATTAGTGTTAATTATATATAAAGTTAAATGTGATTTAAATTTTATGTTTTAAAGCTGTACGTATCTTTCATTATTTTATGATTTTTCTCTTCCTAAGTACTTGCTGTAAGTTTAAAATTATTCTAGACAGTTACCATGTAATACCATGACATCTGTCATCTCAAAAAGGCAGCTTTTAAAGACAACACTGCTCTTAATACAACCTTAATAAATAAATTTTTAAAAAAGCACCCTGCTCCTAACAAACAATTTATTTAGTTTCAAAGGTTCAATTTTTTCCCCTGAGGTTTCATTGAACTATTTTTAATACTTTTTTAAAATAACAAATAATATTCATTTTAAATTTTCTTTATTAGAATGCTGTTCTCTTTAGTGAATTCCTCTTAATAAAGAATTTGTTCAGTCCTGAGCATGTCCATTTTCTGAGGCTTCGCTGGACTTTTTGAACTTTTTTGAAGAGAAATGAGCAGTAATGTTGATTTAATTTAAAATTAAAAATATTTTCATACATTAACACTAATTAATAATAATTATTTCAAATATTATTTTTTTTTTAATTTTAAACAATTTACAAAATAAAATTTCTATATTAAAGTGCCTTTCTCACAAGTGGACATTCCTCTTATGAGACAATTTGTTTATTCTTTAGGATGTCCTTTTTACCAAGGTTTCAATGACCTTTTCTAAACTAAATTTTAAAATTAATTTTTGATTAGTTTGAAACTAAAAAATAGTAGCAGTATTCATTACCTGTAATTAAATATATATAGCTATAATAATAAATAATTTTGCTTCTTTTAAGAAACTCTTGTGTCATCCATTTTTTTCTGCTTTAATATTTCTCATAAAAATATTTTATGTTCCTGTGAATTTTCTAGTATTATTAAACTTATATCTAGCATTTTTGTATTTGTGTGATTTTTATCATTTAAAGATACCATCTTATTTCTCTGTTTACTTAGATTTGCTTTTGTACCTTACACTGTTTTGGATGAGATTCTAGTCAAAAATAAAAAGTATTTTTTTCCCCATACTATTCATTATTTTTTAAATTTCGATATTTATCATACATGTGATTTTTATACTAATTAGTGAAATTTTCTTAATTTAATTTATCACATTTGTGAAAATCCAACTTTTTAGTTATATTATTTATTTTCAGTGAATTAGGATTTGCATAGTGCAATTCATTAAAATGCTCTTTTAAAAAGTCACTTTTTCGTTCCATAAAAACTATTTTTGTTCATCGCACTTTATTAACATTGATGTGATTCATATTAACACTATTTATGTATTGCAATTCGTAATGACTAGTTTTGCAATTTAGACCAGATAATGATACTTAGGAGATTTGCAATTCATAATTATGCTATTTAATTAAAACTCACATTAATATTAAGTTAGATTACAATTTATATGATTTAACAATAAATCATAATTCATATTTTACTTAACTGACTTACAAAACTACTATTGCATAACTACTATATTACTATTTTTGAATCACTTACTGTGGTTCATTTGTATACACTTTGCAATTCATATTTATGAAATTTTAAAATCTGGTTTCTTGCTTGATAAAATTAAGAAATAAATAATTAAAATATCCTTAAGAAAATTTTTTTCAATAAAAAGATCACATGTATGATTTATGATTTCTAGTGTTTAGATATTAGTTTGTTTATTTTAGTTATTACCTTGTTTTGTTAGCAGTTTGCTTTGCTTCTTATTTCTATTATTTGTTGTATATCTCTAGGCTATTCTTGTGTTATAATATTTTTGCAATTCTTTATTTTCTCTTTCTGTATAAATTTGAGTTTACATTTTAGCCTAGATTTTATTTTATTACTAATTGCGCATGAAACAAAGGAGCAAAATTTATTCATTTGTACAATTTTCTTTAACATTAGAATTATAATAAGAATTGTTTTGTTTTGACATACCTAATTTTTTCATTTCTCTTGTATTGCAGTATTTCACGGTTTTGATTAATGTATCTAAAAAATTCTTTTCAATGTTAATTAAGAAAAAAAATTATAGCCATTTTATGTTTCTAATAAAAAAAATACCTCTTCCTAAAACTTGTACTCTATTTTTTTCCTTTCTCTTTTTATGTTAAAAAAAAAAAAAAAATTTGCTATACAGAATACCTCTTCCCCCCCCTTTTTTTTTTGCNTTTTTTTTTTTTTTTTTTTTTTTTTTTTTTTTTTTTTTTTTTTTTTTTTTTTTTTTGGCAATAATTCTGATACAGAAAGAATGAATTTTATTTACTTATTTGTTTATTTTTTGCAGACAGATGCTGAAATCCAAATCGTACTGTCTTAGTATATTCACTATATTTTTCTCTTGTAAAGTAACATTTGGAATGAGCTTGTTTCACCCTTACTCTGTACCTAATACAGGTATAATAAGCTCATATGTCTTAAGTGCCTTAGCCTGACACAGGCTTATTAGCTAAAGGAAATTTTTAGGCTAATTAGAAAGTTTCCTTATACCTTTTTTATTGATTTTGTATAAATAAGTATATTTTCCACCTAATTTTTTAAGTATAAAAAAATTATTTGGTAAGTGCAAAAAAAAAATTATTAAATGTAAAAAAATTTAAAATTCATATTTATATCCTATACCCTTGTTAACTTTTTTCTTATGATCTAAAAATAAATAATTTCTAACATACCATGTTTGACCTTCATCTAATCTATGCCATTCGTGAACTAGGGTGTGGCTAATGCTTATAAAAGATCCTATAAATCTCAATTTTTAAAAAAATGATCCTTAGCTCATCTTTTGCGCCTAAAGAAACATTTACTTAAGGAACAATATTAGGTAAATATGATTCATTTTAAGATTTAGAATACCCGCATTTATTATTAAAATCTATTTTTACAAGTAAAGTATTTTTACAGTAGCTAATTTTAGTGGTTCTAATTTTGAAACTGTAAAATTAGTAGTTATGTGTTGAGTTAGATAAGTCTAAAAAAAAAAGAAGTGCATAAATACAATTTTGGACTAAAGATGAATATTTTATTATAAAATATCGAAAATGAAATGAGATTTAATATTAAAGTTAAAATGAAATAATCATTTCCCAATATAGGCAGGGAAAAAAAATACATTGCAAGCATTCATGTTGAGTATCATAAACAGCTTTATATTACAACAAGCTTTAAGGTGTGGTTATTAACTTTCAAGACTGACTAAAAACTCCAAAAAATATGTGAATTTCTTATACATTTAATTAGAATTGAAGTATACTCCACCTAATGCAATTCAGTTCTACTGGAAAAGTTTAAAAAACAACTTTTAAATTCCTCTTTTGAAATGCTCATCAATTCTTAGGTTTTTAATGTCTTCAATACACCTAAACCTCATTTCAGTAGCAAAATTTTTCAGTTTCAGAAACAAAAAATCTGTAAGAGATTTGTCAGAGTGTTTTGAGAGATCCATCTCTGTTTAACATATTTAACTAACATATAAACCAGGGCTCGAAAAACTGCCCGTCCTCGGCGGTCAAAAATTTCCCGCGGACAACGAATTTCTCGAATCCGACGTTCGCGCGGACGGCCATTTTCCCGTTAATGTACGTGATACACTTTAAATTTTTGTTATCTTACAAGAGTCTAGCGCCTCATTTCTAAAATGATCCTCTAATCTAGAAATCCCGTACAGCAACATACTGCGCATGGTGGATTGATGTTTTTTCCGTCTGGGAGTACTGCAGCAGTTGAAAGGGGCTTTTCATCAATGAACTTACAAAAAAACACATTGCATAAGCGTTAAACGCAATTATGAACATCCACCTAAATGGAAAAACCCTTTCAGATTTCTGCGCAGAAACCTCTGTAAATCATAAGCTTGATTGTGGAATTGGAAAACGTCATATTCATGGGTGCCACTCTTCAGTCCTGGGGACTGAAATCAGTCTTGAGAAAAATCAATGGACTAATAAATTCTATCAATTAAATTAAATTTTCTTTTTTTTTTCCTTGGAAATTAAAAATTTTTTTTTGGTCAAAATAAAAAATAATATTATATCTTAATGAAAACATATGATATGGTAATAATGTCAAGACTTTTATTTATTTTCTTTTTGTCAGCTTCACTAAATCTTATTCTTAAAGTCTTGAGAAATAGGATTAAGTGAACTTCATCTACTTGCGTAATTAAATTTGTACTATTGCTGAATCTAAATCTGCTCGAGTTTGATTCCTTCACCTTAACCTATTGTCATGCTGACCAAAGTTAAATCAAGATTTTTTTTTAAAAACAAAGAAGGAAATTATAATGCTAGAACAAAAAATAAATAACAATGAAGTGACAAATAGAGGTATGAATGGTTTCAGGTTGTTCAGTAATAATTGTAAAAAATTATACAAGGTTAGCTGTTGTTTTCTTTTTGTTTGCTAAAAAAACATAAAATAAGGGGGAAAAAATTATAGGAAAAATAATCAAATGATCAAATATGTAGGCCAGGCTATTATCAAGGAAATTAAAATTTCGGTGTCAGTGAGCTATAAATTTCTAAAAGTTTGGTAAACAATGCTAGACAGTATTATTTAGTCAAAAAATAAGTTCAGTCTTGGAATTTTTTTAGAGTGGCACCCCTGCATATTTGATACATTTAAAAAACGCAGTACCCTCGGATAAATTGACATTCCAGATAACTTGACCTTTGTCATTTAAATTATTTCTTAAAAGAAATAAATAGTTTCATAAAAGAAATACTAGGTTTTACTATTAGTAACCTAGTATTTCTTTTATTACTGTATAATGTAGTAGCTACAAATTCATTGTGTAATTTATATAAATGTTTGTAATAAGTAAGAAAAAATAATATTTTTACTTATTTAGAAGCGACGGGTTAGTTTCAAAGGAGGACGGGTACATTGTTGGACAAGCCGTCCTCGGGGACGGGTAAAATTTCTGAGTTTTTTTTAGCCCTGATATAAACTAACATTTTTGTAGGAACAAGGTATAAAGATGTCTAAGTCAGTAAGAAAACCTGAAGATCAAAATTACATAGCATTCCAAATGAGTTCTTTAAAAGTTGCTTGAAACTTTCGCTTTCAAGTTCAGAAGTGTGTACAGTCCGCAAAAAAAAAAAACGAATCACCCTGAATAACTTTCGTTCTAATGATCGGATTTTCACGAATTAAGTGTCAATCTTAATGATTCCTGGGGGTGACCTCAAATATGCTAATTAATTAGTGCTAACTATTAAATAATATACGAAATCAGACACAAAAACGTACTTTCTCTGAATAAACATACATTTTTTTTTACATATTTGGATTCTTAACCTTCAAAATATAGGGGGTAGCCGCAATCTGGGAAATATGGTCCCCATAGTTTGGTCAGGAGAGCGATCCAAAGTTCGTACCCCTCAATGTTTATTCCACTTTTTACGTTTTTAGTGATATTTTCAAAACTTATAAAGCAATTTAAAGAAAATTGCACCCACGCATAAAACTCATTTACCCAAAGATAATTTCATGAAAAAAATGATTTTTAATAATTATTAATTATTTTTTATTATTTAATTAAATTGAAGATGAAAAAATTTTGAATTATAAGGTATGAATTTTTTTATACCATATTAATCTACATATTTTTCAATTGAAAAATCTAAAGTTTCAACTGTTTTTATTTATTAAAAGCTGAGAAAAATTAAAATTAATCATTTTAAAAAAAATAATTTGGAGACAATAAAGAAATGATTAAATGAGGCGATTAATATTAAAATGTGATAAACCTGCGAGGAATTTGACTTCGCGCGCGTAGTGTAAAATTTCATTCATGTTTTTTTTGTTGCTAATAATCGTTTGCTAATCTTTAATTTTTATTTCTTTCTAACAATAAAATACAATGTTTCCTTTTTAGTTGCTTAATAATTTATTTGCAATTTAGTAAAGAAATTTGAATAAAACATTTTGAATATAAAACACTTTATTCAAGGAATGTCTAGTTTTATAAAATAGGATACGATATGATCTTCTGATAGAATATGGATTATACACCAGATTGTGCTTATTTAATGTGATCATTTTTTATTTTTTGATTTTGTTTTTCAATAACTGATACAATTTCAATAATATACATACGTATGCATAGATTTGGAATAATATATTTATCAATTTCTTGAATATATATTTTATAAATATTAATAAAAGTGCGTATTCAACATTTTTAAGCATCTCTCACAACATCGCAAATTTCTCATCATCTTATAGGGTAAATTAACGAATGAAGGAACACTTAAGCTTAGCTTGCCTTTAAGAAAAAATCATAAAAATTTCAAAATTTGTAATTTTAGCTAAATGATGGTGTCGACATATTTGTTATTAAATACAAATTATGTAAAAAAA